GTGCATGGCGATGATGACTACTGGGATAATAATAATAATAATACAACACTATTTTAACAGTTTATTTTTAATACTATAAAAAGTTAATTAGAGACATTAGAAAATGTTTAATTAAATTGAAAATGTGATTATAATATCTATATAAATTTAATCCTTTATTAGTTCAATTTAATTAGGCCAAGATATTTCAATTTCGCAAACCTTTAAGCAAGCTATTACCACAAGTTCATAAACGGGTGTTTCATTTTTCATTCATTTTGACGAGACCATCCTTGTTGATTTTCAGTTTTCAGGTCTTAGTCTTCACTACGTGGGGTCAGTGAGTCCCGAAAAAATCTATCCCCTATCACATCACTACTACTTTTCATGCATATGGACTGTACAAATAGCTTTCTGCTTGAGTCAAAATTTTATTTTTAATGGTTCAATTTCAAACTTTAAGTATTTCAATGAGGTGGTCAGAATTTTAAACTCTATCATTATGAATTTTATCAAAAAATGATTCTATAGTCACGTGTTTTATTTGAGGAGGTGAAATATTTACTTAATTTAAGGATCGAATCTCCAGTTACTAATCATTAATTTAAATTAATTTTTTAATCATTATCTTTGTTAAAAAAAAAAAAAAAAAGCTTTCTGCTTGACTTGACTAAAAATTAAAAAAATGTCACCATGTGTTCGATTTTATTTAGATTTTAGACTAACCTATTCTTATCGTTGATGTTAAGTTCTTATTCTTTAGTCTTTACCACGTGCATCAGTGGCTCTCGGGTATTAGACATTTTTCTGCTTATCTCATTGAGACTGCACGGTGACAAATTGTCTCAAATCAGCGTGATCTTATCGAGCTCCTTTTCTCACGCATCGAATTCATTTCATTGGGTATTAGATATTCGCTGCAGATTTCTTTGCCTTTTGCCTCGTTGACTGAGGTACTTTAATTTAATAAACTTCAAACCAAACAAAAAGGTCACAACCAAGTGGGACAATGTGCATGTGCCTTATCCCGCAAGAGTCGAGAGATGGGGAGATTTAGAGGGTGTTAGTCGAGACTAAAAAATTATTTGTTTTAAAGGGTAATTTTTTGCAAAAAAATAAAATTTTATTAGAGAAATTTAAAAATTAAGTGAAAATAAAAAATTCAATATTAATTTTTATTAAAAATTAAATAAAAATATAA